CTGGATTTCTCCCGAATGCTCTGGAATCTTCCATGGGTGGTATATAGTAGGAGTGGACCGTGCTACGTACGGTGATCAAATCAGCTTTCCCAATAATGGCGTTTGCATGGCACTAAATCAACTTTTCCCGCGAGACACTCCGAGCGCTCATTCTGTAAGAGCTCCGCCTAGAGATCTGCCCACCAGAGGTGGTCAGGATCAGTCCCGGGATAGGCTAGGGCACGTTCTCTCACATGGCGGTTTCGCTTGGCTCAAACGCTCCGCAGCGAAGACTTTGATCTTTCTGACGCAACACACGACTACTGCTCCATCTTGACCTCGTTGCCGCTGTAATCAGAGGTTATTCTAGGAAATCGCCACAGTAGCTGAGTATTCCCATAAGCCCGTACTCTGGGACAGGTCTTGGAAATGTGGTAAGTAGGTACCGCACGATTTCACCGGGGAACATCTGTACATGTACTTCTCGTCGCACAGCAGCAACGATAGGCCGTGGCATGTGGCCATTGGCGAAGACAAGAGTACTGTCTGCTTCAACCATATGCGACAGCAGCAGCGGCTTGGAGTATGGGGAAGTGGAGTTAAATGCCTTGAAAATTATGGGGGGATGGTGATGCTGTCAAATTTTTGGAATTTTGACGGTATTTCCCAGTAATGATGCTCTGTCTGCAGGATTGACGATACAAGGGCTACACACTGCTAGCTGCTCGAAAAGATTGCAGAAAAGCTTCGCGGAATATAGCGACAAGTCAACCTGCTTCACGACAACGCGCAACGTCGCGGGTGTTCGGTCTCAAGCCACAAGACTCTGAAGCCAGGCAGGACCGCGGCTGCCCGTCTGCCATATTCGTCAAACCTATCTATACACCTCTTCAACCTTTCCTGCTCGCTTGCTCATTACCTGGAGAACAGAAAGCTCGACGACGAGAAGGACCGCAAATCCGACTTCAAAAGGTTGTTTGACAAAAATTCATATGATAAACCCTGTATATGCATCTTCCTTCATGATCAGCCTTCTTCGCGAAAGCTCTGAACGAAAGAAATGAAGGACATTGTGTCTATCGAGCGAGGAGTCCATTGGAACAGTCCATTGGCTCGGATCCAGAGTCCATTGGTGACAAGATGAACTAGAGCAAATGCAATTACTGAAAAAAGAGTAGACCTTCAGATTCGCCATTACCTTTTGTATATAATTATAGAGTTCCTTGCTTTAATGATCTTTATTTGACGAATTTCTACACTTTAGCCGAGTAAAAAGAATTTCTTTTCACAAATACTACTGAGAGGAGTCTCTCCGAAATCGCTGTATACGAACTAATCATCGCCAGACCGTCACACAACTCTCTAATGCGGTAGACATAATAGTCTTTCTCATAAATGGCGTTTTTTTACGGAAGCTGAGTGGTGGCTGCAAATATTGCCAAAAAGCGTATTCACACCAAGCTAGCGAGGCCTCGATCACATTGGCTACAGAATCAAGATTATCAGGACCAACGGCGCAGTGTTCTGCATAGAAACCTTGGATTACGATTCTGGCTCATAAACACCATAATGACAAAATCTCTCAGACAGGGAGAGGAGAAAAGTAAAAATATCATCCTCGAGGGCTTGGGACGTGGGACGAACGCAGCGCGTTATATGCACCAACAATATTTTTCGTGAGTGATCATGATTTTATTCAAAGAACATCAGAAGTTACTTGGAGTCTGAAGCTCTTCAAAAAGTGTGAGAAGAAGTTTTGAAGGATATCATGCGGCCGAAGGTCAGATTCTGTACGGGACTTTCGAAAAAAATCGCCAAGTTCATTTTGAATGAGAAATGTTGACAGTTGTTTGAAAGGATGTGCTCATACGTTGCTGTACTTGGTATCCCGTTTCCATCTTTCTGGTTCCTAGGCTACAATTATTTATCACCATATTTATGCCCCACCTTAAATAAGGAAGTATCACCAATATGTACATATGTGTGCGCGCTTGCAATGTGCTTACTTTGCTCATTTCAAATATTCATTATGACATTTTTCAAAAAAAATTCACAGTAATGGTATAGGAATATTTTTTTGACTGCAGTATAAGCAAAACAGGGTAGACGATCACAAACACAGTTGTCCAAGAGCGGCTTATCCGTGTACTGCTCAACGCCACCATCCACCCCATCCACCCATCATACCGAACGGAGAGCCCCATCCGCCCATCATTCCACCGAACGGGAATCCCCATCCAAACTGGCGTTTCACTCGCACTGGCCTGAAATAAAGAAAAAAGTCGTTGCTCTGAAAGAGATGCATCAGAAGCTTCTTTATGAGAGCTTACACATAATAGGTGTCTTCGATGTCCTGTGATGGTAGTGCAAAGATGGCACTAACAACCAGTAAAAAGACGATAGCACATAACGCACGCATGGTTTCTGTAATAAGGAAGTGTGAAAAATAGTAGATGACGCTGGAGATGCAGTGTAGGGAAAGAAAGTGCGTGTTATTTTGTGGTACACGTAACAATAGTCGACGGTGAGAGCAATGTCACGCAGAGCAATGCCCCTTGAAGGTATGGTTCCGCTGCACTACACTTTTATAGGTTTCCTTACGACTGTAAGATCAAATCACACCCCAACCCAGTTGACTTCTCCACAGAAGCACAGCATCGAGTCTTCATGATTATCTGTGTGGTGGAAAAACATTGGTAAGCCTACTAGAGCTAGTGCAATCCCCTCCGCAGTTTTTTCTAATGCTGATGGTGAGACTTACAACTTGACCTATACATTCGAAATAAGGACCATTGAAGTACCGCATCGTCTGGTAGGTCACTTCTTCAACACATGTCAATCTGAGTGTATGTTCACATTCGAGAATGACTGCAGTTCAGGAAGGCAAGCGTGGCTGATAACTGCACTCGGTAAAAATTGCCTGCACCCCTCTATTTCTATGACTTTATAAGTAACTTTGTAGGAAGTTTAGTCAATTCCATGTGCACGTATCGAGGCAAACGTGTTATGAGATGAGACGAAAGGTCGACTGTTGAATTCGATTTCGGTACATCCATCCTGGTATATCTCTCAAACAAATTTGTATATAATAGTCCTGGGTGTCAGATTACGTGAACTTGAAGGAATCTTTCACGGAAAATTCTTGCATCCCTACATCTTTCGACATTTCTCATTCCAGAGTTCAGACAAATCGATCGATAAAATAGGATGCAGTCAGTAGAAGTGTGAGATGTGAATGCAATAAAGCAGAAGGCCAGAAAGAGTTTCTAGTGAAGGCACTCCAAGAACCAAGTGGAAGCATCCCACGCCAGCATTTGTGAAAGACGTCCGTGGGTACTTTGGAGAAGCTAATTTATTTTCATCAAGTAATCTACATCTTTTGCTGCTAACTGATTGAGTTCACAAAATTTGATCATTTGAGGCGTATCTGATACAATGGATTTGTTATTCGAAAATACCACATTCAAGGCTGGCGACGACGTTCATGAGCTGGACAAGTCTCTGTAGGAGTCCTAATAGAGGGGACCGGTAACTAAAAGAGTATTAGAGTAAAATTACCGATAATCAAAGGAGTATTAGACGCATCTCGAAAGTGTACCACCATTGATGCGGAAAATATTCCATGGGAAATGGTTTATTTACTGCATACGGTAGTCAAGAAGATTCACGAGAAAAAAAGGAGTTGAGCCTTAGTGTGTCCCATAGGACACGAAGGAACAAACATCTTAAAATTGTAACAGCCGAGGGCAACTGTCTGATACCAGACCGATCACCGACTCCAATTTTATACAAATCGGTGCCTCCCTATTCGCTGAACAGTAGTAGAATACAGGAATGAAGACCCACCTGACCAAGGGCGAAAAAAGTACTAGTTTTTCTGCTTTTGTGTTTCATAGCTCTATTATTCTAAGCTATTATAAAGTAGTCCTTGAGTCAATAATATGCTACTCCTCCATTAGCACCAGTGCCCTTATTAGTAAGGTAATCAATAAAAGACAATTCCCCTATCTAGCAACCATTGCCAATTCATATGATCCAGGTTTCAACTTTGCAGATTGTTACTCGGGAGAAGTACATGTTTTTATTTTCAGCACGTCTTCGGTTGATGCGGCATTTTTCTGTGGAACTCACACAATAGCCTGCAACAAATGGTATTCGAAGGCATGACACTCTGCAAAAGGGAACGGTATTGCTGCAATCCATCTGAACTTCTTGAATTTGTATGGAACCATGACGACCCAAAATTCTTTGTGCAAGGATCAAGCGGTATAACCAGAAAGCTCCATTTTCCGGTAGCCCATAGCAGCTGCCACTTAACTAGTGCATTGAGCAATGCGTGCGGACGTGATGTAGTGCCAGGTGGCGCCACTTACCGTGACCACGATTCGGGATCTGATTAAAGCCCTTCATCCATACAATATCTGCAAATTGCCAGACTTGCCTGAGCCAAAATCCCCGATTTGTGCCTTGGCTGCCCCTACATGTCGCTGTACAATAAATGGAATTCCGATTTGGAATGGAGCAAAAATGCGCGGCGCATTCAACCAACACCGGATGCTTCATTATTAGCCCTTTGTAAGCTGTACATTTTGTTGCGAACAACGAGTTGAGGCTCCTCGATATTGTTTCAGCCACTGCTGCCAGTGCCTTTTTAGGTCTAGTGAATGTTTTCAAGATTTTGAGAGCGTTTGATTTCTTTTGAGAAAAGAATTCGCGGAATAAATGATGCTATGAAGACCACACAAGGCTGCACCATCAATTCTAGACTGCGACGGTTTCGTAGCTCAGAAAATGTTTGTTTTCCCACCTACATATGCAAACGATGTTTATAATAGAGCAGTGTCCCAGCTCTATTTCTGTTTCAAAGATAGTATCTATTTCACATTCTGGTTAGTTCTATTTTATTCTTCATCATTCTATTTTGGTTCTATTTATTTTTTATTTGTTCTATTTTTTCACAACGCTTAACGCTTTCCAGTGTGGATGATTTATGCGCCAGGCGCCTTCAGTTGACGAGCTCATTCTTTGCAGACAATTTTGCTGTAATTCGATGATGAGACCCGATGTTCCATGTCGATGCGATGGCCACTTTCGTCTCTTTGCATTTCAGATTCATTCATGCGAAATGACAGACGGAATTGCTCCCCTATAAAAAATGACTGATGATATCTCATGATTCAGAGAACATGATACTTCCGTGACGATGTGACCCCATGTCCTCCATTCCAAACATCATGAACAAGTAGGACGAACCGAACTGGTGATTCGGTGGTGGCGAGAAGACTGTAAGACCACATTCTGGATTGCTTTCTGGGGAATGTGCGCTGTTTGCTGCTGGAGTGAGACAACCATTTCTGCTTTCCTCCCTTTCCTGTCGAGGACATTTTAAGCAACATAAATCCGCATCTTACTAGTGTCGCTGAAATAAAGCATTGAAGCATAATCAGCCGGGAACAAAAACTAAACAGAAATACTCAAGAGTTTTGAATTCCCCTACTGCTGCTAGCAATTTTCATGAATTCCTAATTGTTAGTCAGCACTCTAGGCTCTACGGGATCGTCGTGGAAATCAGAGAATAGGCGGAAGAAGATAAAAGCGGCATATGGATGATCACCGCCTCAGAGCGGCATGGCCGCGCGAAGAAGTTGGCAGCGGGATCCGTTCTTCTTCTACTACTTCATTAGGAAGAGCTTTCTTGCTATTCGACTGTAGCGACCCGCATAGTTATCCCAAAGCTCCTTAGTTGGTTTGATCGTTATTCTCCTTAGGTTGAAGGGGAATAGTGATGCAGTCTCGACAAAAAATATATAAATCAATTGGAAATATCAATTATACCATGCTTATGTCTGCGTTTTTCCAGTAAATGTTTGCAGCGAGCGCTCCATGAGTAAAGACTACCAAGTTCGCACAAGGAAAGTGATGCAATCCAAGTTAGCTATGTTACCCATTATCTGTGTAATGAGTGTAAAAGTGTAAATGACTTTAATGTGCTTGTGCATAACGGCAGGTGTTTACTTAAACTTCTCCTTATGTTGGATGCGGTTCCTCTCATTAGCAAGACCATTCTTTTGTTCTGCTATCTAACTGTCGGCGTCCTCAGCGCAGTAGCTGACTGCTCAGTTAAAAAACGTTCTGCAAATAAGACACATTCAGGAAGTAAAAGAACACTCAAGGCATTAATTCACCTTTAGGCCAAGGCTCAAAGCTGTATACGTTGAGACAGGTCGGTGGGCCGCGTCCCTTTGGGCAACCTCATGGGCATCGGCGCGGTAGCGCTCCCACAGTTCATTCCCTTTATTCGCGTTGTGTGATTATTTTAAGGTCTGTTGTAACTGCATGCTATAGGGCATAATTTAGATATTTATAACAACATGGCTCAGAGAAGGCCAAATATTTCTGTTGGGTTGGCAGACGTTGGTTTTTCTTTCAATAAATAGGATGTGATAAGGGAATACAAGAAGTGAATGACAACCGATTCGTATGGAGATACCACGTCCAGTTTACTTTAAACCCAATAGATGGGAAATAAGTAATTCGCTTTTTACCTTAACACGTCATGCGGTCGGTTGTTAATTACTTAATACTGTAACTAGAAGATCGAACATCATTGAAAACATTTCACTGCATCTAAGTGATTGCTGATTTACAGCTTAAAATCCATGGATTTGGTGAGTGGCGGCTGCGTTCGCAAAACCGCTCTTGTCCCACGAGGTGCAAAAGCACAAAACGCGCGATGTCGTCAACGTGTTAAAGTTGGCATAGGTACAACTTTTCCCGTTCATGCTTCACGGATTTTGAGCTCGGTTCATATTCATAATTTGGCAAACATTGTGTTGGGCGTTTAGAATGCAAACACGTTGACTCAAATTTCCATTATTCAAATTATAATATATGTCAATATGCCTGATAAATAATAATCCTTAAAATTCTTTGGTCTTCTTGCCTTCTGAAAGCACAGGGGGAGGAATATGGGCCTCCCTGTTAGTCTGGCCGTCAAAGGCACGTGCGAAACGAATAACAAACCAATCTTTGAATCCACGCCATAAATAAAGTTTTTTTTTCTAATACAATAGTATCAGCACCTAAAAACAACGAATTATAACCAATTGTGCAATTTTAATTATCAAACAGATAATTATATACTTATAACGAGGATCTCTCTTCTAGGCATAAAACCAAGCGTTTTGAGCCAGAGAAGGAAAGAGAAGTTGACTTTTATTGACTACACTAATATCTTGACTACTTCACACAGTAATCTTAAAGATGTTCATGGAAGCATCCGGCTGTTCAGTAATAGCAATGTGATGGGTTCTTCAATAGTCAATGCATATGTAGCCCACTATGTCGGAGCGGCTTAACAAAAGGCGTCGCGTGGTAATAAACCTTTCTATTAGGTCGTGAAGAAAGTTCTTGCGTTTTTCGACCCTGATTTTCAAATGCTGTATATGGTTGTGCGAACCTTTTGATTGAGGTCAAGACTGTTAGAATCCACTAATCTCTGCCGATAATAACTGCGTTGAATAAGCCCGGCATTGCAGAACACCGGAGTAGAGACAATTAACCTGGCAGAGGTCGTTTCTGCATCATGTTGGTTTTCGAAGCATAACTCTTTGGAGAAGCTATCCAGGTAGTCGAGAAAGTGACAAATTATAGGCAAAAGGTCTACCGAGTAGGATGTTCGCAGGACTAATTCGTAGCCAATCTTGTCCAACTTCTGCAGGGTTGGGTTGTAGAATGTGCGTCCGAGCTACCTGTTAGAGACGAGCCGGTTCCTTTATAATGAGCAATTTCGGCATATGTGCCAGAGTTCAAGCAGGGTCAACCGTCCGTTCGAACTGTTCGAACGAAGGGGTCGCATTTTGGTCGGAAGGGGGTCGCAATTTCGAGGACTGTCCAGCCACAGGCGCGTGCGTGGCGTATCCGAGGGCAAGAATTGTTTGTGCAGACCGCATTAGATTCGATTAATTATGCACAGAAGAGACAGTTTTGGGCAAATTACGGTGTTTTCCTTGAGGAATAGACAGTTGAAGATCCCTATGGAAGATTTTGAATTCTCGAGATAAATTTAAAGTTTCTTTTGGACTGAGTTACGATTTTGGCAGACAACGGCGTAAATAAGAGCAGAAGTCTCGTAGTCTTCAAAAATGTCTTCGCCCTCCCCAACAAGTTCTTTGAAGGAAGTTATTATTGCTGAAAGCTCAAAAACTCGCATGTGCTGCTCAAAAACCTATGGGAACAAAATGTTCGAACGTGTGATTTTCTCGGAAAAGTGTCAGAAACTCGTGGCTAGGTATCGCTTACGTGCCTTAGCACGGATGTGTTCTGGAAAAAACGGTTTGGTTGTCAAAAAGAGAATCAGTTCTTGATCATCAAATTATTACCAGGAAGGTCTTTCAGGGCGTGACGAGCTTTTTGAAAACGGTCTTTTGCATGATATAGGGGCAGATGCGGGAACCACAGAACCATGTTTAATTTTTCCTGAACGGCCCTGAATACCAGAAAAGGGGGTCCCTAGTTCGATTCCTCTTGGTGACAAATTTTTGCATTTCGAGTTGACGTTCCAAAATTCGCGCAAAATGGAGTTCTGATTGTTCTGGTTGGTTCTAACTCCATTTTTGGCACGTCAACTCGAAATGCAAAAATTTGTTACCACGAGGAATCGAACTAGGGACCTCCTTTTCTGGTATTCAGAGGGCCGTTCAGGAAAAATTGAACATGGTTCTGTGGTTCCCGCATCTGCCCCTATATCATGCAAAAGACCGTTTTCAAAAAGCTTGTCACGCCCTGAAAGACCTTCCTGGTCAGAAGTGAAAAGTGAGTTATGCCCGCTTAAAGCCCAAAAACTCGCGATTTCAAAAAAGTGTTCGGCAAAACCCCCCAAAATGTTCGAACGTGTGATTTTCTCGAAAAATGAACTTTGAAAAACGGTTTGGGCTTGTTAGAAAGAGCAAATCCTGTACTTTCACCCCATGAAAAAGTGCATCACAGAAATGAAAATGAAGTGAGTTATGGTCGCTGAAAGCCCAAAAACTCGCTTTTGCACGAAAAATGTTCGAACGGGACAATTTTTTGAAAAGGGGACAATCACTAAACTTTTTATACTGTTTTGTTAGAGAAATATTTGAAGTTTCTGAAACTTTTTACAGATTTCCAAAATGTCGCATACGAAAGATTTTATGGGCCTTCAAAGTTGAAGGTGCGCCTTCTTAGAATTTTGGGTTTTCCACTTCTAACAGAAGTACTTTCCGGAGAGTTAGGCAATCCTTGTAGTTTTCTGGAAGCGCACCTCAGGCACAATCAAAATCTACCTCAAAAGTCAAAACGTCCCAAGAAAGTTATTCCCCTCTAAAATTTTTTCTTCGCCGCGTCCCGTTCTTCCAGCGCCCGGGTGATACCTGCCGCGCTCCAAGGCCGACGCGACGACGCGCAGACGCTTTCTGGCGCAACGGATTCATGTCTAGCACTCTTATTAACAAAAACAGGGGGTCGCAACTGGACCCCCTCGAGAGCTAGGGGGTCGCAAAAATCCCGAAAATGTTCGAACGTGACGGTTGACCCTGTCAAGGAGTAGTTTGACACATTATCAGGAGTACTTTTTCCACATTAACAGATCCACCTGGTTACGAAAAGCTAGACCAGCCGCTGACCTTATGAAAGTCACCTCAACCTTCCTTCAGTGAAGTTTCACTTTTGCAAAGTTTGTAGAGCCTGATCGCGGTCGATCACTTCACCAAAGGTTCGTATTCTGTAGCAAAGAATCCGTTCTTTGTCGTCGCCGCGAAATGATCAAAAAATCTGGTCGTTTTCATGGCATGAAACGAGCTAGAAGGCGGCGAACGACCCTTCAAATAATGCGTTGTCGCGGCATGCCCTTTTTGAACTTTTGGGACTTTCCAGTTCTTCCCGTACAACAAGAAAACACAATGCAAGTGCGATTACCTTAGCAGGAACCCGAACCCGAGGAATAAGATTTGTGCGAATGTGCTTCAACCAGAATGTTCGATTAATCGTTGGCGTTGTCCAATCTCCGATCACCACCCTCACAATCTTTGGGGCTCTCGCTATTCTTACAAAAGCTTTTTGAACAATTGCTTCAGACCATATTTATTGCGAATCTCAGCCAAGTGCGTCTATAATATCTTGACCTGCTTCCTCTCCATACTGGCCTGCTTTGAGCTAGAAAAAGGAAATCATGCAAATTTGCTCTTGGAGTATGCCGTATTCAAGGCTTCAAAAAATGACAACTAAATGATAAGAAACATAGCTAGCCTAGCTGTTAGATAGAACAAGAAAAGCTCTTCAAAACCACATACAGCTCATTGGCGGCTTGCTTGAATTCGTAACAAAATAAGCGCGTTCGAAAAACGAAACCGAAAAGTGCAAGGCTTTGCCTTTAAAGGCAAATTCCGGGATTTCTGGCGAAATTTAGGTTTTCCCCGTCAAATATGGAGCAGTACGCAAGGGCAGACCATGTGCAGAAGTGGCGGGGCGTTTTGATAAGGTTTAGGCGCTAGGGGCCTAGGTTGGAGCATTGGCGCCGCCCCAAGCCCATTGAGCCGCCCACCGTCCTACGGACCCAATCAATCACTGGAACGCTAGATGTTAAGCCGTCGTTTGGAAAGTCGTAGGGGAGTAATTAGCGGATTTCAATTACGAAAATCGACATCAAAACCTATCTTACGACCATTTTGGAGAACGCTGCATCATCTAGTGAGAAAAAAATTTCAAGATAAAAGCAAACAAAAAAAAACACAGGAAAATAGAAAAAAATAGGGAAACTAGGAAAAATCAGCTTTTATTGCTGACTTCTTGTGGTCGTGTCGGTTGATGGCACAAGCCAACAGTTGCTGTAGACATGTCCAAACAGGTAATTTTCCCAGCCCTGGTTCGTAAGCGACTGACGAAGAGAAATTTCTAATTTTGTAGTTCTTTGGAGGTATTTCCTGCTTTTTTCATTACCTTCGATCAACTTAGCACCCAGCTCTTCATACTCGAACAGGTGAGTCCCTCGTTTTATCCCGGAGTTTGCCTTTAAAGGTCACAATTCACAAG